ACTTCCCGTCCCGGCTTGGGTATCATCCATCGATTCACAGGATGCCTACTTTCACATTCCCATTCATGTACAAGACCGCCCATTCCTCCCCTTTTTATATCGTCACCTGGTCTACAAGTTCCGCGCCCTGCCTTTTGGCCCGTCCACCGCTCCCAGAGTCTTTACAAGGGTGGTCCAATCGGTGGCAGCGCACCTACAACGCTCAGACGTGCTCATATTTCAGTACCTCAACAACTGGTTGATAGTCGGACGCTCCAAAGTTGAGGCTGCTTTGGTGACCATACAAGGTACAGCCTTGCATCTCGCCTGGGTTTCTTAATCAACCACAAGAACTCCAGACTGACCCCGTCACAAACACTGACTTTCCTCAGGGCAGTTCTTGACAAGAACTGTGGCAGTGTTACTCCCACCGACGAACGCGTGGACAATCTCATGTGGTGTGTCTCTATATTCAGGGGTCAACGCCAAGCGAATGCCCGGGTATGGCTCCACTTACTCGGCTGATGATCAGCCTCATCGACCTTGTCCTTTGGTGCCAGCTTTACATGCGACCTCTACAGCTCCACCTTCTATCTTACTTGAGGCCAAGCAGAGATTCCCTCGATTGCCAAGTTCCTCTATCGAGCCTGATTTACTGTCACTCGTCATGGTGGTCAGTCATGGCCAACCTCAACGCCAGTCTTCCCTTAGTTCCACCTCAACGAGAGATAGTTATCACCACCGACGCTTCCAATCTCGGTTGGGGTGCCAGTCTCCGTTCGTATAAGATTTCTGGCTGGTGGGACTCATCCCTAGTGGGTTCCCACTTCAGTGTTCTTGAACTTGAGGCAACTTTTGAAGCCCTCAGCCACTTCGGGCCTGTGATTATAGGCAAGACGGTCATGGTTCGATCAGACAAAACAACTGCCGTTGCCTACATCAATCATCAGGGCGGCACGCGTTCTCTGACTCTCTGTGTTCTTGCCAGGCGCCTATTACATTGGACCATGCCACATTCCAGGAGTACAGAACGTCCTTGCCGATGCCCTCTCCCGGGGCACAGTTCGCCCGACAGAGTTGACTCTTTTAGGGCGATAAACAGACCTCACTTGGACCTCTTTGCATCACACCTGAATGCTCAGCTGCTGACATTTTGCAGCTGCTACCCACATCCCCGGGCATGGGCATTTGATGCCCTACTTATTTCTTGGGGGGTCTTCTTGCTTACTTCTTTCCTTCCAATATCGCTCATTCCTTTGGTATTGACAAAGATCGCACAATGCAATTGCTGCATCCTTCTCATCGCCCCGTTCTTGCCACGACAAGTGTGGGTCTCGTCTACTGCATCCAGACCCCACTCACCTACACTTAGGGCCGGCGACCATTTAGACCTGGTTCGAATAGGGCCCCCCCCGGTAAGCTCGCCCTGTTGCAAAAACCCATTGCATACAGGCCTGGGATGCTGAACTGGTTATTGATCTCGAACTTCTCCATCCTGGGGTCTATTGTTTGCAAGTACTGGTACATGTAATCTATCCAACAAGGAACCTGCTTGTGGTTTTTAATCCTTCAGCGCTATACAATGTTTACACTAGTCCGCTTAGACCCCTATTCATCTGTGGAAGCATGGTGGGGGAAGTTTTCCTTCAGGAACTTTGAAATGCCGACGTGCAGACAGGCCTGATACCGGCCTTGAGTAGCCTGAATACCGGGCAGGCATTATACAGGGCGGACTACCGGGGCCCTTTTCAAACCGGGTCTAAATGGTCGCCGGCCCTCATGGAATGGAATAAATAATGACTATTATAGGCAAGGCGTGGTAGTATGCCCTGTCAAGAGCATAATATCCCCCCTCCTCCCAAAAAGAAAGTATATTATTCAGTCTGAAAGACTATATGGTTATATAAGGAGTACACAATTCTGTCTGAGCTCTTTTCACTCTCCGATTGGGTTTCAGATGAAACATTCCAATGGTGAACCAAGAAAAAAAGGAAAAAGTTGAGGTGGTGTTCCGTTGCGGTTGTTATCGCGCACGTGCAGCATTTTTAAAGAGCGGCATGTATGCGCTCCCTATTAGTATTAGGCAGACGTTTTAGATGCAATCCTGGACAAATCTTTTTGGAACATGCCTCCCCTCGCCTCCTCTCAGTGTTGTTTCTCATTGGGAAAGCTGGGATCTTTTACTGCACTTCCCACATGGTGTTCCAACTATTATGTCCAGGATTGCTGATACAGCAAAGGACATTCCGGGGCCAAACTCAGGCCACTGTTAGACCCTGTTGGCATGTATTAGAGAGTTTGAGCTTTTGTACATACTTTAAAGTTACCTGTATGATTGTTATTGTAATTAAGCAAGAAAAACTTTGATTATCTGGGTTTTCACTTGAATTTATTTTTGAACCTGACCCTCCTGAATATTATGTATTGGGAAAACACATTTGATGTCTCTTGAGTGGACAGAATACACATAAATCACAAGTTCAGATATACATGTACACACATGCACGTCCACGGGCAGAGACTCTGAAAGTACTTAACGGATAAGCCTCTCAGCTGTAAAAAGATTATATGTATCAGCCTGTGGTATTCACAAAGATGAATGAACTTGATATCAAGTCATTCTTTCCCATGTAGACATCATGCATTGGCTCCCTCATGATTATGCATGTATGCACCAACATGGCCAATGGGCCAAATTTTCTATCGGTCTTCATTCTTACATTTCAATTATGACCCTATGAAAGGTAACGCATCAAAGCTGCATATGCTCTGGTTGCCAGATGGGCTACAGGTGTAAGCTGCACAAACTTACAAGTTCAGTAGCTCCCAGATTTTGTGTCAAACTACGACAATAAGTATCCTTTCAAAGTACAGTTGGTGTTTTGCATCATCACTTGATGGCTTTATTTGTCTAAATACAGAACATAAGGGAATGGCTTCTGGATGACTGACATGCGTAATGTTTATCTGAATATACATAAGCACTATTGAATGTTGTAATAATTTCGTACAGTCATGCAAACTGTAATGAAGTACATGTACATCACGTTTTAAGTTGATCATTTGTACAATGCATTGAGACACTGCACATGAACAATGCTCTTGCATATGTACACATGCACACTGTACATGTATGTACTGAACATACAGTATGTACATACTTGTACAGATCTTCCCACGTGTACATACATGTACCTGAAAATGATGGTAATATGTTGGCCTCAAGGTTCTGTACCTGCTCACTACCCCTATCCAGCTTGTAAACCTTACAGCAAGAAGTGCATGTAAATGTGGAGATTGTACCGTTGATGTGTGTAAGTGCGTGGTACAACTTTCAATAGATCACAAAAACCATATGATAAGCCCAGTAGGCCACAAAAAATCCAACAATATTAACCTAAGGTTCCAAAGGCCTTCTGTACTCTGCAGAAAAAAGTGATCATAGATACATGTACATGTACTTCACCTTTTTGTCAGTCATTTGAATGAACATACAGACTTGTGGGCTTTCAGGCTCTCTCTCTGACTTAATCAGAGCATCGCATAAAGATCTCTCACATGTGATCATACACTGAAAATGCTGATAAAAGGTGACAATGAATATAAAGTTATTACAACATTCCGTAGGCTAACAGGATACCTTTACTCAAAACCTAAAGCTTTAAACAAGATTTAACCTCAGTTTTTCAAAAATTATCAGAGCATTAACACTCAAGCAATAATTGTTTAACCATTTCCTGCTGGGTGCTTTTAAAAATACAGTGCCCACATACAGGCAATTTTTCAAGATTTTCCGTTTTCAAAATTCTTCAAAAATTCATAATTTCATTTAATGGACGTTTACACCCACACGATTGACTGTCTGGTGGCTCTCTAATCTGACAGGCAACCTCTATTGACGCTCAAGTATTCCATCCAAGCCTGCTGCCTGTAAAAAGAGCCCAGAATTGTGAGGTGTTATGTAATTTCCTTTGTTACCAGTGAATGCCAGTGGCATCTTTTCAAACACGGCTGGATTAGCGAGCAGTGGTAGTGTAAAAAAATCCCAACTAAACCTACATGTAAGTGATGGACCCTGACCCATTACAAGCTGGAGCACTTTTTCCGTGGGTATGCTGTGCCGAAAACAATATACTGGTATACTGTTTCAGAACCAATGATGGATTACCTCTGATAAATGCTAGCTGAAAAATGATGGCAATTCCCAGCAGTGGGTCTTTTGTTCCGAGTACGGTCTTTGGTAAAAGGACCAGTTGTTTTGTCCGACAGTTAGAACTTCAAAAATACATCTGTATTCTTGTGATTTTGTACACATGATTTTGTTGACTGCATGCACAGAACAACAGTCTAGTGACAGCTAAGTATACAGAGTAATACATGTACATGTATTGCACGCAGCGCATGCACTCACCTCTGGACAAATTGTATGTAGTGCTGAAACTGACAAATTGACTATGCTGCATGTAGAACAGGTAAAACAACATGTCAATTGGCATTTGTTTCCAATGCAATTTCCTCATTCCATCAACACCATGTTTTAGATGCCCAACAGCATGGTTTGTGTCGAATAAGTGCCATTCAGAATAGCCATGTTGATTGATTTTTGGTTCAATTTACCTGAAATACTAGACACATCTAATGCCCTACACCTAGATTTCTTGTATTGGGAAATTTTTAACCTGCTGTTGATTTAACCATTGAGACTTGTAATGGGTCAGGGTCCATCACTTACATGTAGGTTTAGTTGGGATTTTTTTTCAGTTTGGTCAGGTGTGAATGGGATATTGTTGGGGTCGGTTTGGGATTTGGTTTTGTTCTGAAGTTTGCTTTGTGGATCAATGGTGTCGTTTGTGTTTTTGGCTTGTTCTGTTGCCTTCTTTTTTGCTGTGGATGTTGTCTGAGTTTTTTCTTATGTCTATGAATAATGTTTGCCTTTCTCATAGGACCATTTTATATGAATGTACTTTTTTGTTGTTTGTTTTTTGTTCAGTATAAATATTTTGAGTCTTTTGTCTTAACAGGAATTCTCGGTCTGCATGGTATGCTAAATCAAGAACAGTATGAAGCCTCACAAAGAAATGAGACACTCAGTGATAAGCAGGGCAGATTTCAAGGTAATGTTTTTGGTTTCTTTATATTATCAGTTCCATTTTTTATTCTGTACTCCCTCAGGTGGCTGATGTAAGATTTCATCTGTGTGCATTGCACATGGGCCAAATTACTGTTGCTTTCTTAACTAGAATGACCTTAGATTTATTGAATGTTCATTGAAGAACAAAACACAAAGGTCCCTTGGAGTTGTACCAGTTTTTAAAGGGGAATGTCCTACACTGTCAAAGCAGAATGGTTTAGGAGAGATGAAAGGAAACAATGGGGCAAAAAATTTTAAATAAAGGGCAGTTCTACAGAATCATCAATCTCTGGCTCAAAATTTGGTCCAATGTGAAAAATAATATATCATTTCAAAGCTTACTTTCTTTAAATATATAGTCTACTGCCTGCAGCCTATGCAGATTACCAATACATATGCATTATTTCCTAGTCCATTACTTCTATTTGCTAAATTCTCGATCACCAATAGTGCGCCCTCACTCACTTGTGTTGTTCCAGCTCCAAATTTTTGGGAGTTTTTCCTTGGCTAATGTATGTTTCGGTGTTATTCCTCAATCATCTTGCTTGTTTATTTGTTGCGACTCTTGTGAATGGTAAGATTGTTCCCTTTTCTTCTGTTTCTGGATATTTTACCGTTCCCTTTCAGTCTTGCGCAGGTGACAGACTGACCTTTGTATTGACCTATTTTCAGAGTTCGTTGTTTTGGATAAATATATTTTGTTGTGTAAAAATAGTACATCTGTGTATTTATTCTGTTTGCTTGTATATACTCTGTGATTCACCCCAGTCGTGGCGTTTTTGTTTATAATTCATTAGTTATATTTCGAGAGCAGTTTTCTCGTTATTTTCGGCCTCCCCCGTTGCTGATCCCATTCCACAGGGTGTGGCATCTGCTGCTTCTCTGGCTCCATGGGATCTCCATGGGATGATAGCGTAATATCCCAGTCACTCATTGTCCTCCATCCGCTCGTCCAAGAAGAAAAAAGTCAAGAGATCATTGGGATCTCTGTCCGCCATAGATACACTGCGAACCCTGACTGAGTCTCGATGATAATCTTGACGATTATTCATCATTATGCTGATCCTCCAGCCGCTACACATCTAGATCCGGATCCTTACTTCCCACCCCCGGCCCATTCTGTGCCTCATATGGGGCAGCGGATCTTCCTTTGTCTCTTCAGCCTTCTCAACCGGCATCCGTTGAGGCCCGTTCCCTTGATCTCTCCACTGATCCTGACCCACTGCTGCTCATCTCCGATTCAGGTCAGTTGCAGGATGAGGAAGGCCCTGTTTCGGTAAATGATCTGTCTCCTTCAGAGTCCCGCCTTCACCTGCTCCAACATGAAATGATTCAGGTCTTGGGACTTCCTTCTCCTGCTCCTCCTGCGGAAGATCAGAGTCACCCCTCGTTCAAGTGTCACACACCAGGGTCGTCTTTCTCCCCTCATTCTCTCTCTCCTAAGCTTCTGGACCACGCAAGTGTGGAAGCCAAGGATAAGCTTACAAAGGCCAAGACGTGGTATTGCGGCAACCGTTCTCGCTCGTACTTCAACTTTCTGGCAGGTGATTACAATACTTTCTTATTGGTACCTGATCCCCCTGAGGCTGTTAAGGACAAAGTGTACCAAACCAGGCGCAAGTCCAGTAATGTTTTCAGTGACAAGACTCTGCAACATTTTGAGTTAGCCCTCTGGAATATTGACCGTGTTTCTTGCATTGGCATATTCCCACTGTATAGCTTTTCTGCTCCTCCTGACCAAGTTTCTCTCTTGAGCGTGTGAGGAAGGCTCAGATATCTCTCCCGAGTTTGTCACTATGTCGTTCCATAGCCTTGATGATACCCTGATAATGGGCTTGGAAAAGTTCACACGGGTCTCTCTTGGAGCCACAGCGGCCCACCCTGAGTCTGTCATCGACACTATGAATATTCTGCATGAATAAGTGAAATTGGTCTTCGAAGACTCTAAGACTCCCTCTGTTGGCTAAGGATCTTTACACCGGCCAGTAGGTTAGCATTCTGGAGAGAGAGGCTTAGCATCTTGACAGTGCCCGGAAGATATCCTTCCACCAGCCAACTGAACCTCGACATGGTGCAGTATGTACAACTTCCCAGAGACCACCCCGTCCAGTCTACCCTCCACCGGCCCGCCGATAGCCACAGACTATACAACATCGCTGGCCTCTTTCTTCAGGCAGAGGACCATGCTCGATACCTTTCAGTGCTCTGAGACCTCGGCGTGGTACGACCTGGCGTCCCCAGTGACTTGCTGTGGGCTGGTGCCGGCAACTACTCCATTCCTCTCGTGGCCCCAATCTTGAACCCATAGGCGTTCGTCTGCTCGACTTCGTAGGGTTCTGGGGAGAAAATTCTTCGGACAAATGGGTGATTGCTTCATTTACCGCTGGCTACTGTCTGGAATTTACTAACCCCCTCCGTCTGATGTATCTTTCCGGCTGACTCCAGTTCCAAAACATTGATCCCAGCAAAAGGCTCTGGAGTCAGAGATCTAGGCACTGTTACAAAAGGGCACCATTCTTCTTGTGCAGCCATAGGGAAATCAGCAGAGTTTCATGTCGACGTTCTTTCTGACCCCAAAGAAGGAACCTAGGAAGTGGCAACCGGTTCTGAACTTAAAGCCACTCAATGCTTACATAAGACCAAAGAATTTCAGAATGGAAATGCTGCATACCATCCTAGCATCACTTCCCTTCCCGGCCTTGGCGTCCTCCATCAACTTTACAGAATGCCTACCTTCTCATTCCCTTTCATGTACAAGATGGCCCATTCCGCCACTTTTCATATTGTCACCTGTCTACTTGTTCCACACCCTGCCTTTAAGCCTGTCCACCACTCCCAGAGTCTTTACAAGGGTGGTCTGAGCAGTGGCATTCCACCTACGACGCTCAGACGTGCTTATATTTCAGTACCTCAACGATTGGTTGATAGCGGAACTCTCCAAAGTTGAGGCTGTTTTGGCGACCATGACAACGTACGACCTTGCATCTCACCTGGGTTTCTTAATCAATAACAAGAAGTCCAGACTGACCCCGTCACTAACACCGACTTTCCTTGGGGCAGTTCTTGACTTGAACCGCGGTATTGTTACTCTCACTGACTAGCGTGTGGACAATCTCATGCAGTGCGTTGTTCTATTCAGGGGACAATGCCAAACGAACACCCGGGCATGGCTCCACCTACTCAGTCTGATGGCCAGCCTTGTCGACCTTGTCCTGTGGTGTTGGCTTTACATGCGGCCTATGCAGCTCCACCTTCTATCTTACTTCAGGCTGAGCAGAGATCAGGGATGTAAGATATCCGGATATTTCCAGAAATGGCATGAAAAGTTAACTTTCCCTCAAATGATAAAATGTTTGTTTTCCACTTTGATAGTGTACATTTATACATACACAATTCATGCCGGCACGTGTAGGCGGCCTGCATTTCAATCTTCACGAACGTAGCAGATCATGCATAAGCGCATGTACTCGCCAACACAAGCGTACCTAGGCTACACTTTTTTGCACTTGTCACATGAATCATCCCAAGGGTGTACTGGTGAGGCATACTGATTTATCATCGTAGGAACAAGATTGGTGCAACCTTCGACCTTTCCCTGGTTTAATGGTTCTATTGTGATCCCATCACTGGTAATGTAGTTGCAAATGCGCTACTGCTGGGAACCGCTGATTGGTGTGTCCATATATGTGTCTTGTGCGAATGATCACATGTGAAGTTGAACGCGCGAAGTGAACATGTGTTTGATGGGAAATTTTTGATTAACATGGAACTTGACCGGAAAGCGGATGTAAACGAAATTGACAAGGAAATCAAGAATAAATTCAAGTGAATATGGCTCGAGGAGAAGGATCAGGATGGATAGTTTGTGTCGGACTACAAGCTTAACAGTGGCCAAGCCAAATGCATCATCCGCAACTACGTAATGAACTATTCGTCGAGCGGGAAGAAGGCGATAATTGGACATAACTCCAAAAACCACTGGCCTAGGAGGGACAGAGATTCAAAACAAATAGTACCAAGTATATTCAGGTCCCAGCTAGAAATGGAGAAAGGAATTACCAGTACACCTTCTGCCATGACTACATCATGTAATTTGCCCTAAGAAGCCCCCCCAAATGTTCATGATTTTTCACAATGGGAGGGATTAAGAACTCCACCAAAACAGAACGTGAGTATATTAGGTTGTGTACCTAATGTCAAAACCCTTTTAACATCTTTTATTGCTGAGCATAGTCTGCCATTCACCACATCTCAACCAATCTTAGACTTAGCGAAAGAACTTGCAAGAGATCCTGAAGCACTGAATTTTATTTCGATGCAACAAACTACATGTGCATACCAAATTGTTGGATGGGCTTGCTGAAGTTACTCGCAAAAGAATTGTGACTGATTTGCAAACTCTCAGCTAATATTGATGAGTGCACAACTAACAGCGGTGAGAGAATGATGAGTCCTAAGCATACTTGTCTCCTGCTTTGATAATCAAATAGGTGAATGTGTTGTTCAGCACTTTGCATCGATCTCAATGACAACTGTCAATGCTGAAACTATTTCTGACCATGAAAGATTTGTTTACAAAAGACAACATTCCAATGTCAAATATTATTTCAACTTTAAGAGATTCAGCAGCATACATGCCTGGCAAAATTTCAGGGTTCGAAACACGACTTCTGAAAGAAGTTCCTAGTTTGCTTGACATTGATGGGGACACATGCCACCATATTCATAATGATGTGAAGAAATTTTGTTCTCATTTTGATCAAGTGGTTGAAAAGTTGGCAGATGATATCTACAGTGACATGAAATACAGTCCTGATTTGAAAGATGTGTGCAACATTCTGGGTGTTAAATATCTTGCACCTTTGAAAAGGATACCCCATTGCTGGTTATTAGCTTTTGATGCAACATCCAGGATTTGTGAAATGATTGACCCTCTGAATTCTACTTTACATGGGTGAGTGCTACCGATGGTTAAGTCATTTG